TTCTTTGACTGAAAATACCTCGGTAGTAGAAGGTTTCGTAACTTCTAAAATACGGTCGGCAGATGCAGCTAGCTCGTCTAAGGCGTTGTTCTGGAACGAGACCAGAACTGCTTGCACCTTTTGGAGAAGTTTTGACAAGAAGAGTTGTTTGAATAGATCTTCGTCAAACGTTTTTGGGCCTATCGCCTCTCTCATCCGTTGCAACATGTCCGTCGCAAAACCGTGTTGCAGGTCGATGTTATTGAAGAGTTGATCTAACCTTTGTCGATCGGTTAGGTCTCCTCGTTTAAGAATCGAGCGTTTTAAGATTTCGTAAAGATCGGAAACATCACTAGTAAACATACTAGGTGTTACGTACCTCTTGAATTCGCGCGGTAGTGCCTTGACTACTGCGAGGAATTGTGCACATGTGTCGATCACGCCGTGCTAGGAGAAGTCGGCTTCTGCGTAGCAAAACCAGGCTTCGATGTTGTCGGGCCAGAAAGGCATCAGTTGAAACGAAGGCGGGACAAAGTCTTAAGCTTGAGTACTTTAGGTGTCTGTTCAGTCATGATGAAGTATGAAGTACGATAATGAACGAGGGGAAAAAATATATATCCAAGAGAAAACACGAAAAAAATCACAATGTTTAAAAGACAAAAAATAAGGCAATGATATATAAAAATCCCAAAAAGGAACAGACTCACAGTTGCAATTAGGTGTACCAGTTCACGTCGGTCTCACCAATGATGATGTCACAGGTATTCAGTGTTTGACAACGCTTCTACCAGTAACACCCAATATATTTCGTTCCCACCCAGAGAAATCAAAAGACAGAGTCGAGGAGATCGGAAGAGTATATTTGGCGATGACCAATATATCGGAATTCTCTGATCTAATCTGGCTAGCGATTGCGGTTGATGTTGAGCACGGCGTTACCACACGTGATCTGGTGCGGATGCCTGACCGAGAGCCTTCAACTAGATGAGTTCACTAAAACATATGGTCAGCATCCAATGTCGAAAACTTACAGAGCTATTTATTTTGGGGATTTATTTACCGCTACCCCCTTATGTTTTCCAAACTTCCGATGACCGCCTTATCTGGATTCGAGTTTTTGTCAACTGTCTATGCCAGTCGAAGGAAGTGCTGGTCTGGTACCATCATACTTGCTAGAGATTCACATGAATACGAACTTCGAAACAATGTTTCTACGATCAAGGTTGAGAAATACAGATCAAAACTCGGGAAAACCTCTTCCGCACCAAGTATTCCATAATATGGAACAGTTTCCCCTCCGAAATTCGCATGGCAGATGAATCAAATGATTTTGTAAAACTGCTTGATCAAGCCCTCACTTGCACTGATCTAGCACGTAAGAACACATCTGCGCCTCACTCAGACATCATAGGCTTTCTTCGTTTCTAGACCAAAATGGACTTAAAGTTCAGTTTGCCTTATTTTTCCTACTTTGCAGTTGTATTAGTTACTTTTTCCGCCCGATTTCTTCGTTTGAAGTAGACAGGTAACTCACTGAACCTATCGATACCGTTCAACTAAACTCGGTCGCTAAGGGACACTCACTACCACGCTCAGAAAGTCAAGAGGACCGCACAACCGATTACCTACTACAGGTGGTCTTGCATCTATGGAGCCTGTAACCAATCAGCTGGTTAGGACAACACAAACTAACATCAACACCAAGTTACTGTGAGTTTCTTCAGGTTTATCCTGTATTAACTTTTTACTCTTCTGCACACTATGTTCACTAGCAATTAATATTATTTCTCCACTCGTTACCTTATCTACAACTCATATACTTCTATACTTTTCCGCCTGCTTTAATAAACAACTATCCTAAATTATACCCTCCTTGATGCTCATACTCTAATTGGCAAACTATACTTTATATTATAGTCAACAGAAGTATTGCATCGATGCCTTACCCACAGTCCATAACCTGTAACTGTCTGATAAGCTTGTAAAATGGTACTTATAGAAGTAGTGTTTTCCAACAGGATGTGAAACACAGAGGGTTGCGTGAGGTACGACATATCCAAAATAAACTTAAATGAACCTAACATTACAAAATGAGGGAGGGTGGCGTTACTGACCAGCAAGCATTGATGGTGGGGGCGATGACTTCAATCCAAACATATTTGTGGGCAGAACATTTTGTATGTATCAGGCTCCTTATGATTGAGAACAAGTCAATCAATCTGTGATATAGATTGTCTTCCTACGCTCACCACTCAGACTCATGTTTCCAACTTTATGCTGGATTAGTCATTCTTCTAAGACAACATATAACATGCTAACTCGGACTTTTACACTAGGATTGTGTGGCTGGCATCGGATAGACAAAAAACGAAGAAACAGTTAGACAACAAAAGATAGAGTCATTAGTATTCTTAACACTTCACCCTCTATATACACACCCTACTAATAAACCGCTTTCCTTGTACCAACCTTGACTTCCCTTCCTTCGTGTGAGTTTACTCAAAGTTGTTAAACATCACAACTCATTGTTATTCATTAGTCCATTCTCTAATATGGAGCCTCTGACTTCATTTCACTCTAGGAAAAGATAATAAGAATTTGATCTAATTTCTTATACCTCTGTCTGTTCTACTACACAATGTTAAGCAACGTTTGGCGGTCATATTCAAGTGCCTTGTTGCTCTTCTTTTTCTCCTTATTTTTCTTCAAAACTTGCTGTGAGGGTACAGCTATGAAACTTCTGACGTCCGTAACAAACTTGACGTACGCGTCTCCTCAAGGTCACAGTTTACAGCAAGCACACTACGAGTCTACTTTATAAAAACTATAAACTTAATAAGTTGGGAAGCATGTTGTGAACCAACAAATGCTGTAATTTGTAGATCATGCCTGTAAAAATGGCGTGTACCTGCGCATGCAGAAATATATATTATTATAGTGTGAACTAAGAATCACAGAAATAACGCAATCGGATCAAGAAGTACTAGATAAGCACAAACGAATGTGCTGTATTAGGAATTCGAAATCAAGCATTCAACAATTACAAAGGAATCATTAGTCCATTCAAACACCACAGTTTCTCAGGCATTTAGTTGGGACAAGCTGTCTGATCTACTGAAGATGTCACCATATTCATTCCATCTTATTGGATGGTCTTTTCTGCATAACAGTTAAATTCGCATGCTTGAGACAAGGAACCTGCAACTGGGTTGTTCGCACGCGCAACATATGAGATACCGATTGTATGAATGCTGGGTTCCAGCTTGTGTTGCTACTTTACCACTTTCGATTGATCGTCTTGGTCGAGTGGTCTTAAAGTCCTCTAAATATCATATTCGTCGTTTGTGTCATTTCTCTTTATAGTGATTTCCTACCAAATAGTCGTCAATGTACGCATATGAGATGCGAAAATAACAGAATCAAATTCGACTAGAAAATATTCAAAGGACGGCCGATTTTCAATATCACGTTATGGTTAGAGTACTAATAGTACCATTATGTGCTATATATAAACGCATTTTTGTGGCAGCCAAATGTTGAAGAGTTGATCGGGGTTACTTTTTTTTTATTTCCGCAAGGGCACGTACATGCCATTTATACAGGCATGATCTACAAATTACAACATTTATGGTTTCACAGCATGCATGTTAAATAAATATAGTCTATAGAAGTGAATATCAGTTCATTACTTCAGATATACTAAATAGTCTTCGAAATCTTCTCCAAAGTGGCACTGCGTCCACGTTACACACCAGATCCAGTCTCGGCATAATTGTGTTAGGATTTTGGTCGTGTGAAGTATGTACCAAAATATAATATTGAATAAAGCCATTAATAGTAATATATGTGTTATTTCTAAGAATAGACTTAATCGCCAATCAAACAGGAAGGTCAGCATATAACTTATTTAGGACAGCCCAATGAACACATAAATTAATTTAGAAGGTATGAAAACGAGTTTCTGACTTATTACGTTTTGTGATAGTTATGTGGAACGTTATATACATAAGTCATCACTGGACTTTCGCTGACCAATAACCTATATTATTCTTAACAGAATTTCTTTTGACAAACCGTATATCAATTCGGTATAGTGAAATAGTTCGCTTTATTGGTACCAATCAGGCAAATATTGAGTGTAACAACTTTAAGTATTTTGTATAGCTCCAAAACATCAAATATAAATTCAGATGAATGAAGCAAAAGGATTAGATTGCCACATATAACCAATTTACTAATGATTGTTACGCTTTCACCCATTTCATACAACAAAGCCTCAAATGCGACCGTCAGTGAAACGTCGACGGCAAAGCAAATAGCTCGGTGGGCGAAAACCTAAATTCTGCACACAAACTCCTGAACAGTTTAAAAGAATCCGGTTGGTAGAAGAATGATTGAGTAGATCACAAAGGTGTGAGATATTTACCAATGGCTGAAGGTCTATTCCAGTTGAACGAGAGTGGCTTGACCTGCCAGCTTACATCAATATCACACGTTTCACTTAATACCCTTTAGTCGTACTCAGGTACAATAGCTAGATAATGTTTCTGCAGAAATTCATCAGTAGGAAAAGATAAAGGAAATAGAGTGTGATCACTAGCACATATGCTCATCCTTCATGTGAAGTCGATTGATGCGTGTTGGTTGTCCTTGACCCTGAAGCCTATCAACATATTGTTTAATATTGAGTGACATTCCTGCTGGACGATTTGGCTAAGGCTCAGTCACATTTCATCGGTTCTAAAAAATTTTAGGAGAGCCAAATGCAAAATACTCAGAGCTGTTTCATTTAAAGCTGCGATGGAAGAAAGTGGCAATCATTAGCATCGATGCAGGCACGATATCATGGTAATCAGGAAATCAAAACTATAAATCGGCAGAGAAATCTTTCGAATCCTTATAGATATACTGCGCAAAAATTAATGAATTCTATCTCCTGACCTCCGCGAAAGCATATGATAATGAAGTTATTTCAGAAATTCGCACACTGTTATTTTGCAAACGTTTATTTTGTTTGTTGGCGTCAATAAACCAAACCTATTGTTTTGTGTTCCTTTAAATTGCTTGACATGTCCTTGGGATTTTCGTCTTCCATTGGTCAGTCAACCAATGTGGAGCGGAAGCTGGAGAATAATAAGTACTGAAGTTTCGTAAATTTGAGATTTTTAGATTGAAAAACTTTGGTTTTCTTGTGCCACACATATCTGAGTTTGAGTATGAATTACAGGAGCTTTTAGTTGAGATTGATATGCTCATTGAGAAGAAGAAATGTGAGTGGGAAAAAGATCTTAAAGCTCTTGAAAGAAAGCTGTCGATTAAGGTGTCTGAAAATGACAGGCTTCAGGGTCTTGTTAACGAAAAAGAAAGGGATGTAAGTTGTTTTTTTATTTAATAAACTGTTTTGATAGCTACAAGATGCTTTTAGGCGCCTTGAAATGGTTGAATCCAAAGATCCAAGGATTTGTTATGGCAAGCAGATTGAGGAATTAAGTCACAAGGTTGACGCAATGAAAGCTAGTTACAGTAATCTCCAAAGGAAATATCAAAAGCAATTAGTTGCAGAAAAAAGTGATTTCTCAATGCATCTACGTAATTTAGAGACTGAAAATGAAGCTCTGAAAGCCGATTACGAGAGATTAAGGTGTGTCATTTACTTTTCGGTCGACTATCCAGGTTTGCAGAATAGTTATTTCGAAGTGTACCTAATTTTGTATATTATATTCGGATATAAATAGTGAAATATGATATGAATAAATATATGCGGTAGCCACTGTAAAAATGGGACAGTTGTCCAGATTATAAAGCAATCTAATTTCTGTTTCTGGTTACTCGATGTTACAGTCGAGCAAAGTCGAACTTCTAATCATTTTTCAGTAGTACGGCAACTTGTTTCCTTACTGTTATTCTCTAGCCTAAGCCAAATAATCACACGTCATTTTTCACCAAGGAGATGTTTTCTACAGTGCAAGTTGAATAAAAAGTGTGCTCATAGACTTCCTGTCCTATCGTTGACACATAATCATTAGGCCTGATTTTGTTATTCAGCATGATATTGATATAAATACTTGGTAAAGGTTTCAGTCAACCTAAAAATTCATCGACTTGTAAATGCTGGGCGATTTTCATCGTATTTAAATTTTTTCTTGTTTTTATTCGATTTCTGACTCATGAACTGTGTAATTTTCGGTAAGAATGTTTATATTTCACATTGATTATTTCTTACAGATTAGAAGTCAAGCCTTTTGATTCCTGTTTTTTAAAGCTAATATTCTACCACAAGGTACAACATTTGACATCAAATAGGTGGTATGGTTCATTAGGCAGTTATTCTGGCTAGTCCTGTTTTTGAAACTCACTAAAATAAAAGTTTTTTTATCTTACCATATGGTTGATGAGATTTTAGGACTGATGAACACTCATTTTTATGTTAAAATGGAATTAAACAGCTCAAAATTTTGGCCATTCTATTCACTTAGTTATATAAACATCACATATCCTGTTTATCTCATAATTTGCAGTAATCACCTCATGACTTTATTACACGGGAGGAATTGCAGAAAAATTTAATCATATTCTTGTGATAGTTTTTTGTGATCTTGGTTCCAGCGTTCCATGTTTAACCACTGATTTAGAAGTTCAGATGCCACCATTTTTATTTCATTTTCGTTAGCCAGGTACCAGTTGTGAAAGATACGAGATTTATGATGATGCCAGTAGTCAGATACGTTTAATCTAGTCCTTTAATTCATAAATAGCTGTTTTTCGATTTGGGAATAAAGTATTGAAGCCGTTTTCTAATATGTTAATTTGTAGACTTCACTATCAAAGCAACCTATTGTGTCACTAAATAAAAACAAAGAAAATTCAGTGGAGAAATCTTTTTTCGACGAATCTATTCTCTCAAACTGTACATTTGTACTTATAGTTGTTTAGCAAATGTATATATCTATAGAAAAATAGGAAAGGTTACATCTGAAGTCATTTTGTAACTCAATCTTTTTTATTATTCTATAGATATATATTTGCCAAACAACTATAAATACAAACGTAAATACGAAATTAAATTTTCTCTACTGAATTAACTATTATTTCTTAACTTCAGCCTATGTAGTTACCCCATATATTGAACACAGGTTTTTGTACTCAGCTTTGAGCCTTGTTGATTGTGTTGGCTACTCAAACCTAGGAAGGTGAAGCCGGTTCAAACCTGGGACCTACTCGTAAATGTGCCAATTCAAAGTTCTTGAAGAGCGTTAGCATTAAGTTCTTGAAAACCTAAAGTGGCTCACTGAAATTTGACTATAAGTTTTATAAATCCTTATGAAAAATAACCTTTAGCATTCGTAAAATTTGAGATAAAACTTGTTTATTTATAAATTTTCAAATGTTTAACAGTAAGGGCTTCTCTCATTTACAATATCTAATCTCACCTAACCTTTTTATGGTTCATAATGTTTACAGTAATTTATGTTTCGTTCGAATTTCGGTTGGATTTTCGAGTGATATCTAGACTTCATTATTAGTTATCGTTTAACCCACTTTATCACAACTTTTACGGGCTTCCTGTAGATTGTAGTTTCTTGCGGTCTTTGGAGATATTTTACGTAGAATAACTCGCCTTAATCGTTTGTCTTCACAGTTTCTTGTTGAATCCTCTGATTGTTATTGTATTGGTGGTTGAATGCAGTTTAACACTATACTCTGAATACTTTGAATGTAATCTTATGAAGTGGCACCTTAAGAAATTTTGCATACGTATATGTTCTGTACTAACTTTTTATTGCAATTTTTTAATGGACTACGCAATGTTGTGATGTTACACAACTTACTAATTAACCACTATCCGTTTGAAAAACAGAGTCAGTGCATCGACTATTAGGTTATTACTTATTAAATTAAAACTAAGGTATCAACCAGTCAAACAACTCAAACCGTATTCAAGATAATTAGTCCCCTTACTTTGTCCGTGTGTAGACTATCATTTTATCATTCCAGTGCATTTTTTTATTCAATATACCTATATACAAGTGACCTGGTTTCAATAAAACATTTAGGTATTTAGTTTAACCAAAAAGTCAAGGCAGAATCTTGGAATCAATACTAGATCATACTTAAAACGTTGTTTATCATTTTTCAACTTGAAATCTAGACAAAAAAATGAACAGATTATTTCATCACTGAAACAACAGTTGGCTGATCAAAAAAATAGCACACTTGATATTCAGAAACGGTATGGTGAATTGCAATCTCAATTTGAAATAAAATTACAAGAGGAAACCAATCAAAAGAATAATATTAAAGAGATGAAAGAAGAGCATCAGTTAGCCATCGACAAACTTAGTAAACAGTTAAATGATCATAAAAATACAATTAAGCTTCAGGTATTTTTGAGCCAATTTCTCTAATTATTAATTTCTTCATAGGCCGAAGAATTAATGATTACCAAAGCATCACTCACAAATAAAATTTCGGAGATTCATCGCCTTCCTCGTGAAGCTGAAATGAAAAAGTCAGTTATCAATGGTTCTCAGAAATCTGTAAAACGTCAAGAAAAAACCATGACAAAGCGTTTAAACTTGCTGTTACATCGAAAACACAATTCAACACCCAATATATCAGTTAAACATGGACAAACTTCACCTACTGATTTATCATCACCATTACAACAGTTACAGCAGGCTCTCAGTGATCAAGAAGAAATTACTCATAAAGTTAAGTACTTGGAAAATCAACTGAGTGAAGCTAATAATACCCTCATAGATAAAATGTTAGAAATAAGGTAATCGATTTACTTCCCAATAATTTAAAATAATTAAACTTGGTATATTTTTTTGATCAAATGGATTGCTGTTCAGGTCTACGAAAACCACCCCTATCAGTTAGCTTTAGATTCACTTACTTGGATGTATCTATTTATTTGGATTTAAGTAAAGTTTTTGTTAACATAGAATAAATCTTCTAATAATCTCTTCCATAAAATTAAGATTTCTAACTCATTGGTTTAGATACTTGATTTTCAATCAACATGCCACATTTCGGAACTCTTCATCAATCAAAGTTTGTAAATCTAAGTGCTACATCAACGTCCATACAGTCAGTATGACTAATTATCCATAACATAATGCCGTATTAGATTATTGAGTTGTAATAATGAGGTGTTGTTTGGGACGGTACTTATAAGCTAATTTTAGTTTTTATATAATTAGAGAGCAACTGATAAGGAAATGAATACGTTGGTTATCATCACAAAATCTTTATAAATAAACAAACGGAGACAACGAAGAGCCTGGGAAAAATCTGAGCCATATTTATCACAAGTAGAAAGAGGGAATGGAGGACATTTATATAGTTAACAAAAATATTCAAAATGTTCGTTCTGTTTAAAAAATTTCCATTATTGTAACAATTATCAATTCAATTCTTCAGTGGCTACTGAAAATCACAAGCACTAATTAGTAATTAATATTTCGATAAGTACGACTCATTCAATCTTTTAGAACAATTAGTGCTAAGATGTTATAGTCATGTTTATGTTTTGCCGTCATAAGTTTAGTGAACTACTGACTAAATCATCTGGAAAAATTCAGCTATGATTTTTCGATGTTGAATTAGGGGTTATTTTTTATAGACAAGCAAAGTAATATCACAAAGCGTGATAACAGTTTCAAGCTATACTCTTGGGATATCCTAATTTGGTACGTATTACTGATAATACCCAGTTTGCATTTAACGAAGTTAAGAATAATCACCACTAAAATCATGTCGAATATATCCATAAAAACTACTGATAAACCGTTTTTCTAGGTTTTGCCTACCTGACTAACATAAATCTTATTAGTGTTCTCAGTTCAAGATACTTAATTTTAAATTATCTGGGATCAACAGTAAGCAATCCACAATTGATACAAACTATACCCTAATTTCTTCAATCCAATTAGATACATTGACAAATTTCCGTGATTAGTTGGATGACAATTCTCGCTCATGATTTATATTTACAGACAAACTTAGTGTTATATATTATTGATGATGTTGAAAGATTCCGTATATATCACAATCCGGAAGTACATTTGTGAACATTATGACAGCCTAGATATTTATTCAAAAGTTTTGCACCTGGAATTCAGCTGACTGATACTGCTACCTTGAAATTCAAATATTCCCTTGATTACATTCAAAACATACTTACAGATTTCAAAAGTGAATTCTTCTGTACAATAAATCCGAAAGGGTTACATTTGGCTGTCTTCCAGAAAGCTTAAGTTTCATCTTAATTATCAACTACTGCAACGTCACTATCCATATTTTTGTACTTGCGCTCTAACAAGAAAGCAAAAACACTAGACATCGATCGAATAAAACTAATCATATTCGATAACTGATATCTTCCATGAGAAAGCTAAATTTAATTGGACGTCATCGTCTATGGCTCTATTTTCAGTCTTAATTTTCCTCTTGCCAGGCTGAGGCAATAAAAATTGGTCAAAACATAGCAGTTATGCTATCACGATCTGAACCATTTTGTATAAAACGGGTTTCTTTTATTAGATTTTGAAAATTTGAGTTGAAATTGATCAAGACAGGGAGTAAAATTATCTAGGGAATTAGATACCTTTCGCGTTATTATCAGGATATTTACAACTAGGACCGAAATATGTTGATGGGTTTAGTTGTAGTAATGTTCCTTACTCAATATAAATCATTCTTAACATTTTCATATAGGTCATTAATCCACAAAGGTGATGGTAAGAACATTTTGTCTTATCGAGCTACTGACGAATGAATTTATATCTTTTTAGTACATCACAGTGCACAATCTAATTTAATTCATTTCTGCTTTCAGTCGACTTGAAAATACATGTCAAGTAGCGTCTGCTACAATTCGTCGTCTAGTGGAATCCAAAGCATATTCTAATGGACAAACTAAGTCCCTGGAAACTTCCATTGATGAAGCCCGTGAAAGAGTGGGGAATTTTGAAAGAAAGCTTTCTTTAGTTGAAAAGGTAAGAAAAAAGAACGTGTATTTATTGACGCATATCTTTTTTTATCCATATGTATATTATTCAAATAGTACTTAAAATCTACGAAAATGGATATAAGTTCGGTTAATCCAAGTAAATCTGATGAAATTTTTTGCTTTTTATTTTAATCTTGGTGGTTAACTTTTGGTAATTTTATTATTTTTCAAAAAAATTGAGCTTTCTATCAAGTTTTGTCAAAGTTTACTTGATAAATAACCCTCTTTGTAAGGCGTATGTTTTTATTTAAAATATGTTTCATTGTCAAAATATACTAGTTATCCTCTTATACGCTTTCTTCACTTGGAGACGACAAAACAGTTGATGATCTATATCATTTATCCTCTACTTTTTGAACTGGGAAGAGTTGAACACATACATATAGGTCGGAGTGACTATGAATCCTCAATGGATATTTTCAATGGATTTGTTACAATACTAGAGTTTAATCGTTTAAAAATTCCAACCGTAATCAGAACTTATATATGAACGGGAAATATTCTTTTCAATAAATTCCCCTCAGGTTCTTCAATTATATATCCAAATTGATAATCTAAAAAGTGACCAAATGTAAGGCAAAGTACATCGTTTAAAGCATTATTTATTTATTTAATTATTTATTTGAACACAAATACTGGTACAAGGGGAAACTAGATACATATGCGCCACACAAATCTCATTTGATTTGTATGAGGACTGTGGTACTGCCCGGGTGCCCAAACCGAGGCAAGTGGCTTTCCTAGGGGGCCACACCCAGAGCCTTCGACCTAAAGGTCTGATCCACAAGGCAGTGGATAGAAATAAATTGTTAATGTTGAGTTGACTAATATGCAGTATTAACTTGAGTCAGCTTATAAGTGAAATTATAAGATTCATGATCAGAATAAATATGACTCAAATAAGGCAAGAGAAATAATAATGCAGCTACAAATTCGATCAAATGTTTAGTGGAAGATTATGTCAGGCAAAAATGTATATGAAATTAATAGGAAATAATAAAGTTGAGTGGGTGCTAAGTAGATTAATTATACATTCAGGAGATTAATAGTGATGTTAAACTAATAATAATAATACAACGATAGGTGAATAAAGATAACAAAGACAATTAAATGTAACGAAGAAAGGTTGCAATTGCATTAGTTGAATTATGTCATTCAATAGTTAAGATTACGATAGATTAACTGGTCCTGAGGTTTGGCCAAGGTAAGAGAAGCGGTTGAGAAAATTTCTATTGTACACATAACTCTGGTTTTTTAATCCAACTGGTTACTGTTTCTGCCATTGGAAGGACTCTTATATACAAAAATACTATATAAGCTAATATAAATTCGTCTATTAACTACAGATGTGGTTCATGTAAAGTATGGAGATAGAAAGTAATGTTGACTCATATAAATCAGTTTCTGAACGTAAAATAATTTTAATAATAGATTATAAGTCTTGACAAATTTATAAACTAAGTACACATTTAAACTTTATTACTGTTTGTAGCGATGGCGTTATTCACATGTTCACAGACTAATCATATAGATATAGAAATTTCAAAGTAATTAACAGTCAATAGAATAGTAGAACTTCATTCAATAAATGAATTTCTATCTTTGAAATATACTAAATAGAACTTGGTTTTATGTTTTTACTTTATATTAAGTTAGCTATGATTTAAATCTATTAAAGATAATAAACATCTATTATCTTCAATATAGGATTTATCATCTAAATTATCAAAAACAATATCTGAAATATGTCGACTTAAAAAATATGTTTATCAAGTAGGTTTTTATCTTTTTGAGTACTATAATGTTTCATCATTTGGAATTTCTTCATATGTCTATTTGAAAATATTAAATTATTGTAATGTAAGTAGTTTTCTTTTTTTTTTAAATACCTAAACTTTTCTCTATCAAATGTATATAGTTCGTGTAAATTATTCACCAAGTACCAATTTCTTTACTCGGTCAGTGGTGTTGACCAGCTCTACTAACTAAATTAGGTCGGTTAGCGTTTAAAATTGTGCTATGATTTATTTCGTATATATCTTTTTTAATGATTTTACACAATTTTTGTATGTATATATGTATCTTCTGAATACCATGAAAGAAACTTTAATTAAATATGTAATCCACAATGTAGGTATTGTTTCCGGATTGATGCAAAGCGAATAGTAATCCATTGTTTACAGCAACGTCTAACCAGACCTTTCAGGTCTGATTCTAATGAATCTGATTAAGCTTTTGTGAAGAATAAGTATTTTGTTTAAATAAGTGTGTATTTTAGTGGGACTATAAACAAAAAGTTTCATAATGTAATTGACTTAAATCTACTACCAAATAAGATTTTTGAAAAAAATATGTGTGATAAGAAGGGGGTTAGACACATTAACTATTCGTTAAAAAACACTCTTTCCGAGACCTCAATCTAATAAAGCTGTTGCTATCGATGTCATACATCTACCAAAAGAAATCTTATTCTAGATAGTCTATACATCATTTTTTAGTCACTCAATGATGGTTGCTCAAACAAAGGATTGGTTGCCTGGTTTTATCACCTTAAAGTATATTTATCGATTTTCCTGCTATACGTTAGTGACTATCTGACTTCGTGGTCCAGATAAGTCATTACATATGTCTTTCCTATCAAGCCTGGCTCATTCGATATCTAAGTTTAAAGCGCACACAGTTGTCGTTTATCATTTTTCCGACAGGACTCGAGCTCACCTCTTCAATATAGTGGAGGTTATAAGAATCGAGCCAGCAATTTTTCGCTCTTATATTCAAAATAAGTTCATAATATTTCCCCTCTTCTATAGTTATGAAAGACCTACCAGACGGTGTAACCAAATCTTGCCACCTCTTTTGTTTATTTTCCATAATATTTGTGTATTTAAACTGGTTATTCGCACGTTATTTTACCTACAAATCAATATAGAAATATTTGTGCAATTTAACATGCTGTTTTTATAATCCTTATTACTTTCACTACTACTACTACTACTACTACTACTACTACTACTACTAATAATAATAATAATAATAATAATAATAATAATAATAACAATGGTAATAGCAATAGTAACGAAAATGGGAATCATAGTAACACGACTACTACACTTGTCACTGTAAAATCAATCTTTAATTATTTTTTATGAATAGTTGTCTATTCCGAATCACTGTCACTATTACTTCATAGTTTGTGTGAACCTTTTTTAATCAAGACAATTTGCAGTGATTTTTATGCACTCATTTTCTAATTTCTGAATCTCCAGCTTGGTGTTCTGTGTACGTCCGAGTCTTCATATTTACCATACTCTTTCTTTCACAATTGGTCGTGGAATAAAAACCTATTTGGTCAACTATTTAACTTTCAAATCATATATTCTCTGTTTTTCGACTGGACGATGTTAAAATCCACCAGTTTGTCCTTTACACAACATATCCAAAATACGAATATGGATTTACAGCTGATTAATCACCGAGTAGTGACCATTGTCATATTTGTCTAGTCCTTCAGTCTTGGCTGAATTCCATCAATCAAGTTGGATTGCAGCCATTAATTCATGTGGCCCAACGGTGTTACACATGTACAAGATATTAGATAGTTAGAGTTAGTTGGCAGGAAATCCTGAATCTAGGTTTTGCGCTATTTGGAACTTTCCAGCAAGGTGCACCTGCAATTTTGAGAGAGACGATTCCCCTTGTGGAGTTAGAACCCACACCTCCCGAACTTACAGTCCGAGACGTTATCACTGAGCTATCAGGGTAACAACTGACGTCCTATGGAACTGGTTTATCTAAAGTTAATTAACAACTGAGTAGTATTCTCTGTCATCATTTTCTATCTCTGTATTTCTTGATCGATCAACTTAGAATGTGATCACCAGTCTAAGTGAACCTGCATTGTTTTGTAGACTTTAACTAGTTATTGATTTCTTAATCTGTCCATGAAATAAAACTGATAGTTTTATCAAATAGAGAGACTAATTAACATCTGTGTCTGTAGAGGAAACCGAAAGTGTTGTAACTTTTTTAAAAAATGATAATCTTTCGTCTTTTGTCTCCGTTGCATAACATTCAATTATACATAATTTATTGCAATGAAGATTCAAGCATCCAGATCATATGAAATAAATCAGACGCCAAGACATTGTACTTCAGATGAAGGTGTACAAACAAGTGACTATTTACTGCCCAATGATGGACCAATCAAAGTAACACCTACTTTAACCTTCAATGATACGCAGTCAGTAAGCATACTTTTTATGTATTTCTTTTCTCACTGTTGTTGGATTTTCTTGAATTGTAGGAAATTATGTCAACGCTTGGTATTCCGTTTTTTTGTTTATTAATTTTGAGTTGTTTTTGCTTGCCAGTCAACATAAAGTAAATTTCTAGATAGTTATAAAAAAAGTGGTTGATTATGTTTAGATATTTTATAATTCCGAGGAAATCCGTCCGGAATCTCGGTCGAAACTCTTTTGTTTCCTAAGTTAGTCAAAGCTTTAATTAAATTTTCAAAATATACTACACCATTTTCTTACTTTTATAACGTTCTTTACTGATGGAATTTTTCTCGAGAAAGAAATTAAAAAATGATTTGACGAATAATCCTATCAATAATCCATTTACACTTATCTTTTCATAAGTGCTTACTATTTAATAAATTCTCTTTGGCAAGTGATCACATATTGTTATAATTCTCTCTTATTACAACTCAGCTATTCCTATTGCTTAGTATTTTCGGATACTAAGAGATTATATTCCAAATAAAAAGGTTATATTTAAGTCAGAAGCACAATAGGAAAAACGTTAGTATATTTATAGTTTTTACATGAGATTTCTAGAGTATTCTCCAAGTATCGACCAGCGCTGATTGGATAAGAATTAGTCAATCAGCGTGTGCATTGAGCATGATTTAATCCAATATATGTCCCGCTAACACATATGAAATATAAGAACCGTATATTTTGTCATATCTGCGGATCCTCAAAATATGTATATGACTATGCAAGTGTTTTTCCCACTTAAAATATAATTATTCTATTTGGTTGCAGTGTTACAACAATTTAAAATGACATACACATAGTTCCCTTTATCATTTTGAAAAGAGCCAGGACAAACATTCTAGCAGAATAGCATGAATTCATTTTTATTTCGTTGGTTCTCGTCAGCTGCTTACAACCTGTGGTATTTAAAATCATAATTAATGGGTTTAAATTACTGACATGAAAGCGTTTGATTGGAAGTTATATTGAAGACATATTTGTGTAGTATAGCAAGGGTGTAAATAAATTTAATAGACTGAATATTGTAAATATATACCTTATGTAATGAAAGAACATTGTGACAACAGTTCAAATGGCTAGAAACAAGTAAACATTGATAGGAATAAAATGAGTAGAGTTCAGTTGATAAAATAAGATAGTTGGAATAAAACCCAATGGTGTGATAAATGCAAGATAGAGTTTAAAGAAAAGGAAAAATATTAAGATATAACGAAGGAATATTAATCACCAAGGCAAGGAAAGATTAATAACCATCTTCTTTTGCACACATAAATCAGGCTTTTGGCGCCTGATAGCAACTGCTTCAGCAAATTTCAGAAGACTAGAGTTTGGCTGCTTACTAATCACCTTGAATGATTGTAGGGTATCGACCTGATGTCCTGTATCAAGGAGATGTTTGGTGATCGTACTGTTTAGAGTCTTTCTTCCTCTTGTTCTGAGGCTTTTTGGAACATGTTCAAAAAATCTGAGATATGCCCTCCTTTCTGTTCGGCCGATGTAGCTGCTTTGGCAGGTACACGTAAATTTATAAATACAATTGGCGGTAACATGAAAAGGATGCTTATCAACCTTTGATTGAGTTATTGAGCATGTTGTTTTATACAGAATTTGAAGTTTGGCCGCCGGATAAGTTCTGGCTAGCGCAGTATTGAGTCTCCTGTTGATTGTGTTTGCAACCTCGTCACCTTTGAAGTTAAGACTTATAGTTATTGGTTTTTTATTAACAGTAATTACTTCAGTATTGTTTTTTTTACGCTTTTTATACTTGTCAATAAACTTTTGTGGGTAAAAGTTGTCCCGTAGGCATTTTTCCACTTCCATGAATTCTTCTTTCAGTTTGTCAGTGGTACATATCCTTTCTGCCCTATAAAATAGTGTTTTAACAAAAGCTATTGAAATTCAGGTAAAATGATATAGGCTGCTATCACAATTCCTACTGGTATTACAATTCTTGTTATTTTAAACCAGAAATCAAAGTTATCTAAAATTAAGTCAAGAGTGTTTTCAATAAAGTAAAAGCAGTTCTTGTGGGAGAGTTACAGTTACACATTCATTTGACTCACTGCTTCTTCAGGAACTTCATCAGGCACAATTTTGTCAATTGATTTTTACTACTGATTATATGTTAAAGTAATATAATTTAAAATGATTTATTATATATGAATATTATATTTGAAATGATCTCAGAGATTGAAATTTAAATAACTCCAACGTTTCGTTCTGCAAACTTGTCTGAACACCATTTGTGTCTCACTTTGAAATTCCTTAAGAACACATATCTAAACTGTTATACAGGGTCATCTACCTCGCACTGTGAACATAACGGAATCTACTTAATAGGTTTAAATCCGGAATGTTTTGACTTGATTAACATCTTGATGTTTTATTCCATTTCAAATGATTTATAGTACACTACAGTTTCCAAAGTGTACATCAATTTAGTTGTATTGTCTATTGATTATCCTTGGTAATATGATCGGTGAATGAATACGAACTTCTTCTGTCATGGATTCTACCTTTTCGTTTTCAAGTTAATTGCCTGCTTCTTTACGAATATACTACTGATAACTGTAGGTGTTTGCGGTAAAATGTTATTTCGAAATATCTTTTCCTTTACTTTCGATATTCTAGTTGGGTTTTCAGTTCGTTTAATTTTATTCAATAACATTAATTTTAAAAAATTGTTATCTTCCATTCAATTATTTCTTAATAGACAAATTTCACTTCGTCCAACTCATTAACAAATACGGAAGAGTTGAATAAAATACCTAATAATTATTGTGCTGATCTTAATTCAACACTATTTATCAATCAATCAAATAGTAATATCCATCGTAAAACTGTTAACGCTCCAGTAGATCTAGTCAATAAGCAAATTGAAATGGAAGTCAATCACTCTCAGGCTCAAATTAATCAAGGAAACAAAAGCTGTCCGAATTTCAAACAAGATTTTCACAGTAACATCAATTTACTTGCTAACTCTACGGATGTTTGTAACGAATCTAAAAATTTTGAACAGTCAATAGAAATTACACCAAACAAAATATTTAAAAATAAAGATGAAAAACAAATTTTTCCACCCGGTGAATCTGATGTTGTTGCATCATGTAAACCAATACCATCGGCACGCTTTAAATTGTTGTCACCCTCAGTTAAATTTTTGGATGATAATAATAATGGTACCAATTCAAACGGAAATGGATTAATCGAGTAAGTTACTTAGAATGTTGTTCAATTCAGTCTTTTTCAACCAATCGTACTAATAATAATTATAAATTTCACTAACTTTTTAGCATTAGAAATTTACACTCGGAAGTGTGGCTATAAGTGGTAAAGCGGTTAAAGCATATAAATCATAAGTATTTTGTTGTAAGGTTAAAATATTCTATTTCAATTCGAACAACTGGGTGGTATCTTTAGCTCTTATAAAAAGCATTTAACTCATAGTTGACTGCAAAAATCGGCACTTGGTAAGTTGCATTCAAATAAAATAAATTTTTGCAGTGTGTATCTAAAAGGAGGTACTTTGTTTTTGTTCCACTTATCACAATGTGCAGTTCTGCTTAATAAAGGAGTAGGTATGAAAAAACCTAGAGGCTGCCATATTTAAACATAGTTTTACCCCTTTAAGTCATTAATGAATAGTATGAGTCATGTTGATGTATGCGAAATTCTTGATCCTGGCTCGTATAATCGTTGTAACTTGCCGTTGAAGACTTTGTGTGATAAGACTCGCAATCGGTTGCTGTGGCACTGTTGCAATTATTTTCAGCCTTTTTCTATTTCTGAAGTCTTGTGTCATCCTTAAATGTTTTCTTCTGAGATCTCATTCGTTTTTAAAAAACTGTATTTCTCCTGTTCATGTTTCGATTGTAGTTTATACTATTCCCTTCTATTTCCTTCTTATTCCCTTGGTAGAATCGATTTAAGTTTTGGAAACATGAACCGATGCGTACTCATGGCAGGTTCTACTGGCTAACTTATTAATATTTTCTTTAGATTAAGTACTGAAACATAAATAGAATTTGTGTTTTAGCAATCTCGATTGAAGTACTCACATGAATCCATGAATTCTATAGTGGATAAAACTTAGATTACAACTTATACTTCATAAAGAAGTAGGATTACACGACTTACAAGATGCTAAGCACAATAAAGTGTCATAGTGTAGAAGTAGTTTTTTTGTTTTATGACTGATGGGAGCTGCAGAACAGAATATTCACGTTTACTTTCTATGACTATCATCACCATTACTTATTACTAAGCTAGAATAAGTAGTTTTTCTAAATAATATATGTTTGTATTATCCTTTCATCTTTCGGATAACATTGTATTTTACAAGGTCAAAACAAAGAACTCTTAACATTTATTCATGTAAACAATATTTGGTCATACATAGGATATTTGAAATAAATGGATTGTTTACAGAAATATGGTTTCTTCTCCATTCATACATCAAATTATTTAATATTGAAAAATGCATAACCAGGATTGCATATTTTTGAAATCAATATATAATTTTCACGTTCACATTTTGTTAGTTGTACTGTTAAATGAAGCACCCGATCAGATCTTTTATTTCGCTACGTTGGCGTCAGAAATATATAATCTTGAACAATGTTCTTAAAGGGAATAACTAATTTCCCAAAACTTTTATCTGTATGTGTATAAGTGAAAAAGAATAAAATAAGTTGTCTTTAATAATTTTCTTTTATTTCATACCTCGTATTATTTCTCCTTAGCTCACGCATTGTTTGTTATGACTTTAAACTTGCGGTCGATTCTTACCCTGTGCTAATTGTTGTGTCCTTGACTGGAAAAATTGGAGAGCAGCGTATTTATCGATCGATTCAATGACACGTAAACACGTACGTACGGCCTAGAGTCTCGATTGGTCCCACTTCCCTGTCTAGCCCAGTTAGTTGAGTCCAGAACACAAGTCACAGCCTCGGAGATATGAATCATTGTATTTCAGACATACTCTATTTATATACTCACCAAACATACCACATCGTACCATAAAAATAGAAAACAACATTTGTACAATATTTAACGAATGAAATAAATAATGGCCACTAGAAAATGTCCATTTAACGTCCAAGGACATCACTAGACTTAACATGATAATGATTGGCACATTATTCTACATCCATAACAGTTTATCCCTGCTGAGAGTGTTTTTCGTAATGACGATGTTGTGTCAGATTGAGAATCCTCATACGTTAGGGAGGATTTTACACAACCGTTTTATCTATATCATTAATAACAAACGTTTGAATTATTCCATCCATTTCCATGGCCGATTTTCAGAAAACTGATCAAGGTTTAATCTTGAATATCAGCGACAGGATAATAGCACCCTGTTACTAATATTTATATATCTATTTGACAATCAAGTAACCATCTCGACTATATACCTCAGTGTATAGCTTGTTAGTATTTAAATCAGGAAAGTACTCGGTTCGAGTACTAGCGGGGACATCAATACTCGTATATCCATCTATCCTGCTGATGAGTCTTAAATATTATGGAGCATGTGTTCTGAATCCCACTGCTGGCCACAACTCATTAATTCCACGAAACTGTTTCATTCAATTTTGAAACAGTTGATCAGAATTCTCACACACACTCTTCCTTCATGTGAGATTGAATTTAAGATTTCTAGATCCATTTAACTAGGTGTCTATGTTTTATTGGTCTCTATTTTCACCTTTAGTTAATCTACGATAATCGTGATTGTAGTTCGTGAATACTTTTATAATATATAAAACGTTATAAAAAATATATTACATTATCTGATATTTACATATTTTGTTTGAATTACATAGTCATAGTTGGTGGATATTATCGATTGGGATAAGATTAACTCTAAGTACCTTAAATCCAGACTAAGTACACGAAATATCAAACCACTTAGATTAGTAGATACTGTTCAACCTAACTGATTTGATTTGATTAACACTAAGAAATATGCAACACGAGATCGATTATTGTTGATTGATAAATCAGCTTCAGTATTGCAGTAGGTCACTCGCGGTGTAATTTCCTTAAATCTTATAGGTTACTTTACTCTCATTCTTAGCTTCTCTATGGTCTGTGCTCAGTGGCTGTATCGTAGTTATAAAATATAACTTTAATAGTCTGCGGAACGACAGCTTAGTGGTTAACGTACTCAACTGTCAACTACTAGGTCAGAAGTATGAAATCCGGTTTGACTACCTCACTTTGGCTAGCCAGATAGTATCACTAGCCGTAGTATAAAAAGTGTGGTTCAAAGCGCGGAGTACATAAACCTGTGTTTGGTAAGTTATATTGAAATAGATTATTCTGTATACTTAATATTTGGTAAATATTCTGTCATTCTTATCGCACCATAAGTTTAAAACCGCTCATTGAACATAGTTAGTAAAGTCAGTTCCTGTTGTTTACTGTAAATTCACAAAAAATGATTTTAATAATTTTTCAATCGTTATCTTTTACTCTTAAAATTCACAGTTTAGATAAGCAGGACTATGCTACTGTTTTAGAACCCACACTATTGACGTTAAATTCACCAGTTTCTGAAATATCAAAATTTGCCAAAATCAATGAAACTATTATTGATTCATTTCCAAATTCATGTTTGGATTATTCTACTGATTCAATTAGAATTGTATCCACATGTGTTCCACACTTCTCTGTTTTCACACAAGATAGTACATTTGTTGAATCAGATACAAATTTTCATTGTTATCAATCAATGAATTTGTCAAATGAAGTAAGTATAATAGAATATGATGTTTTAGTTAATTATACAACAAATTATTGATTAAAATTAATGACTTAATTGTCCTTGTAAAACAGTTTTTAAGTTATTACTTCATGATTATCATTGATATCATTTTGATAAAATACTTAATATAAGTTCCAAATTAATTTAGTCTATACATGTTAGATTCTTGACAATTAAAGCATTTTGTAAAGAAGAAAGATATGACTTATTCCAATCATTTCAAACGATTCAAAGTTTGCTTCTTTTTCTTTTCATTTTCATTTTACACATCAGAATAAGCACAATCTTTTATTGTAAGCATTCTGTTTAAATTTAACAAGATAATAGAAAATAATAGTCGAAAACTTTAAGTGACTTGATTTGAAAGTAGTTGTTTTATGTTTAATAATCTTTTTTAATAACAATCTTCTTGTAATTGTATTCTCTTTTATGTTATTCATGTCCTTAACTTGTTTGTGTCATTCTCATTTGCTTTGATTTCAATATCTACTTATGTAAAGTGAAGCTACGTCTACAAGAATTCAGACTGTGGCCATTACCTTGACTTAACGATCGGTCTTGTTTATCTCGATAACTCATCTGAGCTATATTAACTGGAACACTAGTTTCTTTGAATCCTATTATGCTCAGGTACGTCAATTAAAGAGCTGTAGAGCTAAAAACAGTAAGTTTAGCTTTTGAGAGCAAAGGTCTACGACTGACTAAATAGATGTGACGACAGTATGGTAATTCCTCTGTGATAACAGCTATCTGTTGTGATGCTTTTTTCCTACAACAGAAAGAAAGGGTTAGTAAAATTAAGCCTTAAAAATACCACACTTCATGTTGCCTCACTGATTGCAGCCACTAACAGTAAGGTTTTAAAAGTACGAACCCTAAATATCAAAAACTAGTCAAAAAAAGCTGTGTGATCGGCCCCATGTAGTTGTCCTCTGGGCTCAGCGGCCACGCCTCTAAGTTGTCATGACTGTACTACACCTAGCTTCCTTTTTGGCGAACACTTAGTTGATGAAAACTACTGATGAACCTTGTCGATAGGTGCTATCTGGGATAAAATGTAGATCTGTAGCTTTGCTTTCAGAAGGCTAACGTAAAATATAGTACTGGGCGATATCGAGTTAATTAACCTACTGACTATATTGTGGCTAAACCAATAGAATTCGATCAGCACTAGGGACTAAACAATATGGTTATTGCTCCATGACCAATTACTTGTTCCTATATGATTATTTTTTGTATTTATCTATCTATTATGCTAAAATCCTGACCTAGTCACTCAAACACTCGATCATGGAGATGGATGGTGATTATTAGTGAAATCCAGGACACGTGTTCCGTTCTATTTGAGACTCATCAGCTGGATGTACCTGCATCCCTGAATTGATTTACACCCCGGGACTTGAACACACTACCGTTCACTCCAAACGCCATTGCGTTACCCACTTAGCTGCTGAGTCCAGATAGCTACTGAATTGTGCGATGAGATGAGGTTTGATTCATTAGTCCCTGACACATCATCGGGAAGATTCAAATAATCAATACAAATAAATTTCTCGATCATAGTTTTCAGTTTAGCTATTTTTAAAACCCATCTCTGAACAAATGACATAAATCATTAATTTTCTCAAATAATATTTACTCATTGCAAAATCATCAGTTGTTTATTTTGGTTTACTTTTCCCCCAAATTCATTTAATGTTTTTTTATTGATTTCTAGGAACAGTCATCATCATTTGAAAAGAAGTCAAATCTTCATCTACCATCATATTGTTCAACATTCATATCACCATCATCATCAATATCATTATATCACTCTCAATTTAATCATAATAGTTTAAATGAAGAAGATACAAATGTTTATAATTTAGCTGCACAATTTTTAGTGGATGAACAAAAGCATTCCATGTTATTAGAACAAAAAATTGATGCACATTTAAGGTGTTTAGAAGAACATGCTGGACATTTAAATGAATTATATTAAATTTGCATATTTTTTATATATATTTCTTCATTTACTTTGATATAAGTCAACCTTTTTTTCTTATCATGGTTGTGTTTCGATGTCTACTAATAACGTTAAGTTTTAGTAGTATTTCTTGTTAGAATACATTTTTGTGAATGTACATTAAAACTGTATTAAATTATTTCTCAAATCTTTTTCTTCTATGTTCCTATTCCATTTATCAATCGGATAAGTAAAGTAAAACTGTTTTCAAGTACAATTTTCTTAATAAAAAATAGTATTCTTTTTTTTTACCAAATATGTTATTCAACTGTGATATATCTATATATCAATATTTGACCTCGTTTTAATAGTTAACAAGACTTAACCTTTTATGGGATAAGTGCATAGATACATATTACATTTTTTTACCCTTGTTGATGTTGGGTTGTTTATATTGATTTGTTGTTGTTGTTGCCGCGTAACACACACAAACACACACGTCTAAACACTATGTTCAACAAATAGGCTACCGTACGGATAAATGCACAAACCTACACATTGATTTATTAGTGAATTAACCAGCTTACGCAAACAATCACATTAAATGATTTTGAAAATCTAAATGTTCCTCGACAGGCAAATGTGTATTCATATTCATGTTTTATTATACTGTGAAAAATAATAATCTCCTACAATCTTTAGACATATTATGATGTATCATATATTCTTTCAAAAAACAAAAAAGAATATCCAGAGGATGAACGACTAGAATTTTCTTTTTTACACCATAATGTCATATTTACCTCAACGCTTGTCAACCATTATCTCCTCTCTCATTCTTTCTCTGGGAGAAATTTTTTTAAATCTTTTTACACTTAAGATAGCTTATTTTACACAATCTTTTGCTGTTTGTCAAGTAGGTTTTTTATACGGCAAATTTTAGTGTAACCAAAATATTAGTCTTTTCTGTATTTTCTTTAATATGAAACCAGTTAAAAGACAGTTGTGTTCCATCGATTGGTGTTTTAATTCTATTTAACGTTTCGTAAACTTGATTATTATTTCTGGTGGATTAGAAATTCATGTTGAGTGCGAAGTAAAGTAAATCATGGAACGTTGTATTTTGCATAATCCTATTGGTAAAGGGAAATAGTTGTTGTAGCTGAATATTTACTACTTACATAGTATATTTATGGCGTAACTTCACTAATCAAATTCGAGATAGTAGCATCTAGTTCTTGGTGCATGATCCAAACTATAACGTTGGATTATCAATCATCTTGTGAAGGGTTTTTGTTAAAAGTGTAATTGTGGAGTACTTAAAATACATCGGGTCAACGACACTGAGTCCGCCTATTCACTGTAGACATCAGTTGAATGAGAAAACATGCTAACTGCTTACTCTTCCTGATATAAGTTATGTTGGAGGTGTAAATCAATGTAGTTTTCACAAATCTGCCAACGTATTTGATTTTTGGCAACGTAGATAAGTTGGTTTAATTGTTTCACAAAATGTTTATCGTGATCTTTTGTGATTTTGTCCGATTTGATTTTTGTTCCATACTTTATAAGTCATGCAAAATTAAATATTTAATGCAGTAAATCACTGGTTTATATATTCAGTTTCGATCTACATTTTTGTGTGAGTGGAACCTAAGAATATTAACAAGCTATTATGGATTTCCTTACAACTAAGATGTCCTCATACATAATACGAGCACTGCATTCTGTTCACTTGGAATGAATACGAAAGCGCAGTAGCAAAGGCATGAAATTTTTTTAGTGAAATAAGAATCAATGTTTAACTTAGTATTACATCCAGTGTATAAAATTAGCGGTTTTAAACTGATATTCATCTGTTGGGTCTTCGTATAAAACTGTTTTCTGATGTATTTTCATAAGTTTATTTAAAAATAAGACATCTTAAATAAGCTGAATAGGGGTTCAGGACATTTTTAGATCAGCCTGTGATTAGAAAAACTATAGTTTAATGAGTAAGTATACTGCCCTTTTCTGTACACACCGTCCTTTAACAGACCAAGAGAGACAATTCTGATTCGAGAATATAGTCACATTATAAACAGGATTGTTCTTAGTTTGATGATGAATAAGCGTTTTACATTTATTTTAAAACTATTTATTAATTAAACTCAACTCTGAGCTAAGAACTACCGTTGAAAGATATAAAATGTATATTTCAGTTAGAAATAGAAAATTTCTTTTTTCTTAAAATCATCATAAAACTTGGGTTTTCACCTTCATGTTTGATTCTCTTCGTTCTATAGTGGATTAATTCTTTAAACAATTATTACAATGCTTGCTATTTATCTCTGGTTCATAAAAACGTTTATTTGTGGTATCGATATTGAGTTAATTGCAATACACAGTTCAGATAATGTTTCTATCATTGTTTACATGTAATATTTGACACTTATCTGTCTTCATTTTGAGCATGAGTACCTGTAAAACAATGAAATTTAATCTATCTACCAGTCGTGTTCAATCATAACGAAGTAACTGTGATGCAGCCTAAGGGTTGTAAAATCTGCTTGGTTAACTCTCACTACACTGTCCTCTGTTCGTTCCCTCTTGAACCAGGGAAAACGTAATTACAACCACACAATACAGAATCTACTTTCTAATAAGTAAAAACTGTGGTTTTTGATTTGTAGTCCATGTAATCAAAGTTATGTCATCACATATGTGTTTAATGACTTGAATGCAAACGTTATTGAGAATAAATTAGGTTTTTGTGATTATGATTACTTGATTACAGCATGTATAACCACCGACCGATTTATTACAGGTAATAAAACATTTCTATTATGGTCGTTGATGAATTGCATAGTATTTTTAGATGTATGTAACGTCCGTAAACTAGACGAAATTGTAGGATGAAGTGAACACATTTCATTTCGTCTGCTCTAAATCTTCTACATACACAATAATTTGTAAAACTAAATAGTGTTCTACAATTGTGATTTTTTGAGTAACATGCATAAGAGCATTTTGTCTAGTAGTGAAAAATGACTACGTTCACTTTCCATGTTTATAAAAAGTGGAATTTATAGCACTATGGAATAAGTTTGCATGTGAGCGAGAGATCATGACGTAATCAAACATAAGAGGAACTTGCAAGTTGTTATGATCAAACGAAATAATAAAATTATTAATAGTTACCGAAAAATGTGCGGTAAAGTAGTCATAATAATGGTGATCATAATAACAATAATATCGGAAGAGGGTATGATAAAACTTAAGTGCTTAGATAGCTAAATCGACTGATTTGTTAGGAAAGGTGAACCCAGATTTTCTATTTATCAGTTAGATATCAGCACTTTATGATTAGGATTTGAATCATTTCACAGCTTATAGATATGGCAATTTATTTTTATTCGATCACCAAAGAAAAGTTCGTAATTTTTAAGTTGAAGATTCTCAAATTGAATACACTAATATAAAGCAGTAGCCATCCGGATGAAGAAACCGGAGCTATGCGTACAGAAGAAATATATTCAACCACTCCTTCTCCCCTGGCCAACATCAAGGCCAATTAATCAATCGTAATCTTAACTATTGAATGACCTAATTTGACTATGACCTTTCGTAGTCAATTGTACTTGTCCCTGTTATCTTTATTCCTCCTGTAGCTCTTCCAGAGTTACTGCCGATCCCAAGCCCGGGTAAAGGAGGAGGGTTGGGCATGGAGTTAGCGTCCCCATCCCGTAGAAAACTAACTCGCTAAAGAAACGCTTACCAGAAAAAATAACTCAAACCATTTAAACTCTGCCCTGGGAGTTAGAGGGTCTTCATTTAGAAGAATTGTGACGCTTCATGGTGAAAGCCGAGTTCCTTCGGAAGCCACGAGGCCGATGCCCCTTCTAACAACCAGATCAACAATTTTTATAGGTACATGGAACGTCCGAACAATGTGGGAGACCGGGAAGACCAGTCAAATAGCAACGGAAATGAGGAGATACAACTTGGAAGTACTGGGAACCAGCGAAACCCATTGGACCCAAGCTGGACAGAAAAGGCTAGCTACGGAAGGGATGCTGCTATACTCCAGTCACGAAGAGGAAAATGCTCCACACACTCAAGGAGTTGCTCTAATGCTGTCCAAAGTAGCACGAAATGCACTTGTAGGATGGGAATCTCACGGATCCAGAACCATCAAAGCATCATTCAAGACAAAGAGGGAGGGGATCACGATGAATATTATCCAATGTTATGCACCCACCAATGATAGCAACGACGACATTAAAGATCAATTCTATGAGAGGCTGCAATCAATTATAGAGAAGTGCCCAAGAAACGACCTCACCATTCTGATGGGAGATCTAAATGCCAAAGTCAGAATAGACAACACCGGGCATGAAGATATTATGGGACGACATGGACTTGGACAGAGAAACGAAAATGGAGAAAGATTTGCAAATCTGTGTGCATTCAAAAAATTGGTCATAGGAGGCACAATATTTCCACACAAGCGTATACACAAGGCTACATGGATCTCACCGGACCACACTACAGAGAACCAAATAGATCATATTTGCATCAACAAAAAATTCCGAAGGACAATGGAAGATGTGAGAACCAGGAGAGGTGCTGACGTAGCCTCAGATCACCACCTAGTTGTAGCCAATTTGAAACTGAAGCTAAAAAAGAACTGGACAAGCAGCATTACAAAGGTTCAATACAGCCTTCCTTCGAGATACTGACAGACTCAATGAGTTCACGATAGCTCTCAAAAATATGTTCCAAGCCTTACAGAATCTACTGAAGGAAGAAGAAACTACTATGGAAGACAACTGGAAAGGCATCAAAGAAGCATTAACTTCAACGTGTCAAGAGGTTCTGGGCCTAAAGAAACACCATCATAAGGAATGGATCTCTATAGAAACAGTGGACAAGATCAAAGAAAGGAAGAACAAGAAGGCAGCAATTAACAACAGCCGAACACGAGCAGAAAAAGTCCAAGCACAAGATGAATACACAGAAGCAAACAAGCAAGTGAAGAGGAGCATTAGAACCGACAAGAAGAAGTACGTGGAAGAACTAGCAACGACGGCAGAAAAAGCTGCTAGAGAAGGAAATATGAAACAGCTTTACTATACAACGAAGAAACTAGCAGGGAAATACAGTAAATCAGAGAGACCGGTCAAAGACAAAGGAGGCAAGCCAGTCACTGAAATTCAACAACAGCGGAACATATGGGTAGAATACTTCGAGGAACTCCTGAATAGGCCGGCTCCAATGAATCCACCGGACATCGAAGCAGCACACACAGATCTTCCCATAGACGTCAACCCACCAACGAATTGTAATTGCACTATTATTTCTCTCTCACCCTATTTGACCCATATTTATTCTGATCATGGATCTTAAAAATTTTTACTTAGCATATAAGCTGATTCAAGTTAACATTATATATGAATCATATTAACATGAACAGTTTTATTGTATTTTGTTTATCACAATCCTAAATTCACATGCTTTTAACGATGTACTTTGCCCTTAACCTGGTCATTTTTCGGATTATTAATTAGGATAGATAATTGTAGAACCTGAAAAGAATTTATCGAAAAGAATATTGTCCATTCAAATACTAGTCTTTTAATATGAAAGTATCATAAATATTGTAATTATGTACTCAGAACTTTGGTTATATCTATGAAGTCTAATTTGTCTGTATGTTTTTATTCAAGATCAGAAGCCTTTTTTTGTAAAACAAAAGAAAACTAACTAACAAGAATCAATATTTACTTCTGTGGATAAGAATAAAGACGTTTTAGTGAAGAATGATATCATTTTCCAAAACTGTATGATTGTATTATCTTGGCTAAAACATCACATTTTTAAAAGTAATCAATAGTCTTCTTTTTTTCTGTGGATAATTTCATCTCTCATACAATATACTGTGATCAGACTGTTTTCAGATTTAGGCAGATATACAAGGTTCCAAAGTTTATTTTAGTCTTATCATGATATCAAGACATTTCACTTTAAAATCCTTCTTAAAAATACTCATTACTAAATAAAAACTAACTATTAGAATTTTGAATAAACAATAACATAACAATCTCTGGTTTTCTACTCTCCTACAGTTAGACTTGGCATATATATATATATGATTATATAATCACTTTTGAGTTCATGTGAAAATTCATTAAAGAATGTCTGTAACCTTGATCACTGTAATAATTCAAATCATAAAAGTGTTATAATAAATAAGATAAAATAATGGATTATTTAATTCTTTAATGTAGTTTGGTTTATTATTTGTATCAGTTAAGTGTATAATTGATTAATTCATTTGTTTATATATATATATAATATGCCGAGGAAAATAAAACAAACAGCCTATTGACGGATATCATTTTGAAAAACACTTCCTTTGTTGCTTATTTCTGGTATTTGGTGAATTGATTTTTGTTCTTCATACAAACTTCGATGTATGTATCCGTGTATCCGTGTGTACTTACTTTAACAGTACCAATCAATCATAATGTTTAAATTATCTTTCATTTAGAATAAATGAAACAGTATTATTATTCATCAAAGTAATCGTAGTTAAG